TAGTTCTGAGATTCACCCTGGGGTAGTTTAGCTTTTTTTTTTGCTATTCCTTTTAAGACTGATCAAACATTATCCGGTTTAGATAAGGACATTTACTGTGTAAAAAAGTTGAACACCATAATGCTAACAACTCTGTTGGTTTAGTTTTGCTTTACTAACTGGAGTGTTTCAGTATCATAAAATGGATGATAATTTATCACAAATTGGGTTTTGGTATGATCAAAAATGTTTTATGCAGTACTTGACTATGTAAGTTCTTTCAGGGATGCCCAGTGGTGTATGAATGTTTTCCCAAAGGTGGTAACTGTTGCAACTTGTTCATCTTGCATCATATATAATGGAAGATCTTTATGAAAAGTTCTGTTTGATATTCTCTAGTAATTTCTTAAGCTGAAAAGGAAAATACAGTGCGAAGTCTTTATGGGTCTATCCTGACAGAATTTTGATGTGGAATAGGGTGTCTGTTAGCAAGGAGTGTTACATGTATAATGAGACTTTGTAACTTGGGTATTGGGAACATTAAAGCAAGGTATTTCCATTGGATTTCATCATAGCAGTTATAACAAAATTGTTAAAATTATGCTTGCTAGTATTTGACTATAGCTGCTTGATGCCACAATCAGCACAAGTTTTGAGTAATAGATTAATTTATTAGGAGAAGAAAAAGCTAAATTCATTTTGATCATATGATCATTTCTTAATGTGGAAAATGATATCTGTTTAATACATTTTAGAGTTTTGTAAGTGATGTCTTCACTACTTTTAGATGGAAAAACTGTTCCAACATTTTTCCACAATATTTTGGGCTTTGCAACTGTACAGAAGTTGTTGACATCATTAAATCAGAGCTCTTATTTCACGTCTGCTGTTTTTTCCCCTATTTAAAATGGTTTTCAGTGTGCCAAGAGAAGTAAAATTAAAGCCTTGTCCCTTGAAATAGAGAGTTTGGGATTTAATGGTAACTAGCTATAATAGAAGGGTAACATTACTAAACAAGCAATAGCAACAGGGATCTCCCTCTTGTTCATTAAAAAAGCAGGAATGTATGTCTACTGACTAAGTCAAACATATTATTATGAACTAGTCTTTTTGGATGGATGTTTATAGCTTTTTCACTTTTCAAGAAGAGACTGTTATGCAGGGTTTCCTCCAAATGAGTGTAGGTTACATGGTTGACTGCTGTTTCTGGTCCACTAAATCTTTAAATGCTTCCTGCAGTCAAACCCGGCTTTAAAAGTAAGTCTCTTTACAAACATCCACTCTTTCCAAGGTAGGCTTTACCTCTGTGGTTGGGATGTTCTATAAGATGGTCACAGTAAGGTTCTTACCCCTCTTTAAGCAGTGATTTGACCTGAATTTTGGTCTTCTAAAACTTGATGGATAACTTCAACAAGAGGTGGTTGTATAAAGGCTGTAACAGCTGTTGATACTGCATGTTCATTGTTGCTTTCTGCATTTAAGCAGGAGTGACCCTTTGTTGGTTGTTTCAGGCTGTAAATCCAAAGGGGATATAGGCAAGTCCCTATGGTTACATTAAGTGCCTTCATTTCCAAATGAGTAGACATTTTCAAGCTTACTTAAAGAAACTACAAACTTCCAGAGCACCACATATTGTATTGGCCTACAAACTTATGATCTGCAGACTTGTTTTCTGAAAACTGCTTCATATAGAAAATCATCAGGATTTTTGTGTAAAATTATTTTGGTAGCATTTCCTCATATTTCTAATATTTTACTGTCTGTGGTCTTGCGTTCTCTGAAAATTGTATGCATTAGAATATAAACATAATACTTAAATTAGAAAATGTTTTCTCATGAGAGTTTCAACTAGTTAGCATTTGTATTACTGTACAACAGAAAAGATAAACTGTTTATTTTGTTGCTGTGATATAACTGTTTATAAAGTTGTGACTTGAGAGAGGTCTTAAAAGTTCACTGATTTTCTTCAGTGAGAGTGTAACAAAACTGTTGGTAGAGAAATGATAAAATCATGTTTTCAAGTTAAGATTTCTTTTTCTTATTGAACGCTAAGGAGTTTTTGTAGTAAATACAAGCATGATGCATGTTTCAGAATGAAAAATCAGAAATTATATCAACCGCGTTCTGTAGTGTTATGTAAAAGTGAATTCATTGGGTGAAATTAACCGTGTTGTCCTGGGCCACTAGAAAGCTAGTGGTGATGCCTCAAACTGCTTTTTGGGGCAAAGTTGAGGGATTTGTAGGTTTGGCATGAGGGGATCCCTATTAAATTGAGTTGGAAGATGGAGAAGGGAGATGTGATGTGAGCTCCACATTTTGAGAGTCTTAGAGCTTCTAACAGCCTCAGCACATGGGAATTAATACTCAACAATCTCATTTTGGGAGGCTTTTGATGCCTTTATTTTTCTGAGGGTTTTTGTAAAATGAAAGATCTTTTACCTTACTTCAGACAAAACATTGCCCCTGATCATAGCTTCAGATTCAAAAAGCTATCCAAGCTTCCAGAGTAACAACCTTATTTTGCCTTACAGTTTTATTTTACCAGAAGTGTATGGCCTTGTGCACGAAACAATAGTTCAGGCAGATCCTCAAAGTTCTGTCATCATTTAACCAGTAGAAAGAGCCTATTCCATAAAAATGTCAGTGTCGTTACTTTTTCTATTAATGTGGTGATAACCACAGGATGTCTTCTGTTAGGTTTGAACTTATAATGGGACCTACCTGAAGGTTTTAGCAGGTTTGGTCTAAATTCTTATGTATGATGCATGAGCCAACAGTGCAAATCAAAACTTAGAAATATGACAGAAAATCTAAAGGCTTAAGATTTCTTTTATACCACAAAGCATTGTGGTTCTGGAATTGCTACAGCTATTGAATCCTAACCTTTGCTATTCTGGTTCTCTTATTGACTTTATACTGACTCACCCTCTTATCGTTTCAATATTTACATTACATCTTACTATTCAGATATATTTACCCTACATTTTTCTCTGGATTGCTAAAAATACCTTATTCAGGTTTTTGCCTTATTCTAAGTAGTTTTCTCTCTGAAATGTTAAAAAAAATCTAATGGGACATCTCTGCAGTCTTAGCAACTTGCAGCTTATTCTCTTTTGAGTAGATCTGTGAATACAAATTGCAACTACATCTGCATTTGGAGAACAGGAGAAATGAGAGTACTTTTGTGCATCTACCCAAGTCCAATTGTTTGTGAAAATTACTTGATTAGCTGAACAGTTTTCTTCTGAAACCACATTCTCATGAGGGACTTGCCAATTTGCATACAGGGAATTTCTGTTGGCGCTTATTATTCCACTTATCTAGGAATCATTTGAAGGCTCTCCCAGTAAATCTCAATTGAGCTTCTTGTCAGACTAAAAGGTCAAGTGGTGCCTACTTGTGTAACACTTAGGAAATTTTCAAAGGACCAGTATGACTGAGGTTCAAACAGGTTATTTCAGTTCCACAAGAATATCTAATGGCTATTACAGGGTTTGGGCCATACTATTTTGTAAGACTTCTGAGACTGATAATACTTCAGTAGAACTGTATTCCATTCTCAATCTTGAAGAATATTAATTTCCAATGTAAGACTGTAAAAATTAATTATTTGCTCAAGCCTGTTTGAGGATAAACAGTAACTGTAGGGGTTTTGTGTTGAGCTGTCCTTGTGTATTTTATCCTACTGGTGGCCAAAGATTCTGTATTTGTTCCCATTTTTTTCTTCAAGAATGGTCAGGTCACTTCACTATGTCTTACTGTCATGAGCTGTAAAATGGTGATAATCCCATTTACTTTGTTCATAAAATCCTTTGAGGTTTACTGTTTAAAAGCAGTTGGAATTTTATTTTTATAATATAGCCCATTTCACTTCCTGTGTAGTTATTTTGAAGAGTGAACTGACTTAAACTGCTTACATTTGACATATGGAAATGTTATCCAGGTTTTCTTGCCCTATTATTTCCTAACTGAGTAAGCATCTGTTTGTTACATACCCTTCATGGCTTGGCATCTTTCTCCTCCTTGGTCTTCTGCCTCTGCTACTGTTGTGTTCCATTTCCAGAATGGTTTTCCTTCAGCCTCTCTGTTTCACTACTGTGACACTATATTTGCACTGTAACTTTACTTTAGATTGTGTTATGTTATTGAGTGCTTCTTGTAGGAACTTACCACAGCATACTTTCAGGCAAGCTTGATACTTGTATCAAATGACCAAAGGAAATATCTTAGACAAATGACTTGCATAAAATTCACTTTTATGATATCTTAAAAATGAAAAAAAGAGCATATATTTAAGTAAGAAGTATGTTAATGGTCACAATAAATCTTTAGTCATTGTATTTTAGCAGTGTTATTCCATGCAAATCCAATGGAGATTTTTCAGCAGATCTTAAGTCTGAATGCTTTGATAAGAAAAGTACTCTATTTGAATGAAAATAATTGCAGCAATATATGGCATTTGGCCTACATTTATCATAAGAATGCATGAAATGGTGCAATACAGCAGCTTGTTTACCTGGAAATCCCTCCTTAGGTCAATCCATATATTCAAAATGCTTAGGAAAGCCTCTGAGAGCACTGCTCAGCAGTGTTGCTAAGTAACTGCAGTTATTTAGCAATAGACTTAAAATATTCATTATAATAGTTCAGTTGTTTTAGTCTCTCTCAACAGTAGATTGGAAACTTAATGGTGTTTGACAAAGGAGTGTTAGCCAAAGCAAAAAGGAAGGAAGGAATCAAATGTTGAAAATGCACGAGCAATAAAATCAAAATACCCAAAACAGAACACTGCATGTAAAAACTCGGCCTGTTGATTTCACCATTCTTTACCAAAATCAGCAAATCACTAAGGTATGACTTCTGACCATACTTCACCAAATGAAATACCCAAAGCAATCGTTTTACAATAATCAACATATTTTAGGATTGGTTCTTACAGAAAATGTTATCTTTTGACTTGCTGCAGATGAAGTCCCATTGGGCCTTGCAGGTGATAGTTTATTTAAGAGAGAACTTTGAGACATGATTGTACAGTTTCAGAGAAAACAATATTCACGTGTTCATATATGCTGTCTATTATAGGCTAAAAAATTGTGTGAAGATCCTTCACTGTTAAATGTTGTGTGAACAGAGTGCGCATCCTCATTATGTGACATGTCTGTTGGCAGTAGATTGGGATGTGTGGGATACGCAAGGTGAAACCTGCGCTTCCAGAGTGAGGGCAATAAAGTTACAGTTCAGTAGTTAATGTCTTTATAAGTTAGGGTGTGCAGTTGCTTACAGCTGTTATATGCCTTTAAAAAAGTCAAACCCTTTATTAAGCCATTTCATCCTTTGTTCTGGTCCATTCTGGAGAAGAAATGGTTAAGCAGCATAGCTACAGCACTGAAGAAAATAGAGTGTATATTATATTATACATCACAGAATGGCCCAGGAGAAAGCGGAAAGTATTTGCGTGAAGGATATTGACTTGCCAGTGATCTGTAATCATTTCCTACCACCACCTTACTCTTATAGGAAAGGACTGCAGGAATCAAGAAATATGAAATATGTGAGAATTACTTTCAATTTTTATTGAAATTATTTAAAATAGAAATAGTAACTACTTTTAATCAAAATTTTGGCACTTTAGGAAATAATATTAAAAACTGGAGTGGAGTGTTAATAATGCTTCTTTTCTTCAAGAGACTGAACTCCTTTCTAGGGAAACAAAAATTGGTTTGTAAACACTTACTATTGTATGCCTAAGCAGGCATTCGTATCAAATCAGAGAATTGTAGAATACCAGGTTGGAAGGGATGTCGAGGGTCATCTGATCCAACCTTCATGTATTACTGAAACTGCTTTATCAACATTGTCCCTGAAGTGGTGATCTGTGACTCTCTAGAAGCTTTCAAATAACCACTAACTCAATATTTTATAGTTTTGACAAAGTCCATTTAGTCCCCTAAATGGGCAACATGATCCTGATCCTCTACAGTGTAAAAAGCTAACAAACCTAACTATTGTACAACTGAATGGGACCTACCTCTCTTTAAAAAAAAAAAAATCAAAAAAAAAAAAATCATATAGAAATTAATTGTGTATTCCTCTAGCTTCCTCTATTCAAACACAGAATCTGATGAGGTTTTAGGGTCATCTCTCGAAAACAAACAATTTAACATGTTTTTTCCTGTGAAATTTCAGTTAAAGAATTTATCACTGCAAAATTCTTGGTAGAAAATTCAGTACCATTTATAGTTTAAATTTGATCCTTGCACTGCTAGAATGTAGCAAGGCTGAAGGACTTTTATTTGTATCATTCTTAAAGCTGATGGTACCATTCAAAAAGTTTTCAATTCAGTTAGGTATGACAGGACCAGTTTGAGGATTTAGTTTATATTCCTTTCTAAAATCCTACATTCCAAATTCTTGAGGTATATCTGGAGGCACTGTTTGATCTATTGTGTTTAAGTAGAGTGATGACTTAATCCTGAATTATGACATAATTTTGAGCTTTTGTTTTTACATTTAATGTTTTTATAATGAAACAACGTTAAGAAATACACTACTACCTTCAGTATATAATATACCGTATCTTATTTAAGCAGTAAGAAGGGTTTAAATCAGAAGTAAGCAGACTTGTTAGTAGCAGGGAATAAATAAAGCTGTGTTTCTAGAGATAGGGATTGCAGTGCAGAAGTGGGGTGTTTATTTGGTTTTCTGTGGCTTAAGAACCACACTGCAGTAGGATCTTATGCATGAAAATGCATGTGGTGATAGCTGTCTTGTATTGATATAGTTGTTTTCAAGATGAACATGTTCCAAGCGTGACTCTTCATTCTCCTCCTCTTCACTGTTCTCATGAACATCATCATCATTGGTATGAGTCCTGCAGATGCGTTCTGGAGGGACTGTCCTGTGACATTGTGAGATGAATTGTATTTTAATTATTCAAGATAAGTCATAACTTCAGAATTTATGTTAGAGATGCTGTTTATTTAGAGACTTGTAAATGTTACCTTAATCAGTACATTCAATTGTCTCAGTAATTATTGAGGACTTTTACAAGTCATTCTTTTTAAAATTCTCTCCTTGCATTGTTTTCACATTTATATCATATACTTAGTTTTCTTGAGGAAAGTGTTACCATGTGTTGCTGAATGAAAACTTTAACACACGTAAGATCCTTTGTCTATCCTTTGCTTTGTAAGCAGTGCAGAGGAACTAGAGAACATGCCGAGCTTCACAGCAGAGCTGGCTGAAACCTGCCGCAAGGCCCCTTTAGGTGATGCTCAGTAGCTGATGATTCCTTCCAGTTATTTTGTAACCGGTCTGGGCTCTGCTCCAAGGGCAGAAGCTGGTACTTAGTGCTTATCGAATTGTACATGTCCCCTTGGACATGGGGCCTAAGAAGTTTTACAGATCATTTCCTGGAGAGAACTGAGGCTCAGGGCCTTTGTGAGCATTTTCAAGAACTATGTGGAAGGGTGAAATCTCACTTTTCTCTTATCATATGCAGAAATACTGCAGTAGAAAACTCAGGATTTAGCTGATCCTTCAGAATTTTTGGAGGAAGATTTACTTAAAAGTTCTTAAAGTATGTCTTGTGACATTTATTTTAATGCCATAATGTAACAAAGAACTTGGAAATTACCTTATTTTGTTATTGTTCAGTCTTAGAAAACGTAATTTTCTCATTTCATCAATTCCAAATGGTACAGACTTTAATTCATTGTGATCCAAAAACAGCTCTCTCAGAGAGTGATATGCTCCAAAAAATGATACTGGATCTATTCCATCATCAGTGAGTTTGTTAAAGGACAGGTAGAGATACTCCAGCCCTGGCTTCATGTGACCAAAGACATATCCTGGAATTCTTTCAATCTGATTTCCTATAAGTATCAGATGTAGTAAAGATTTTGGCAGATAGGAAGGAACATGATATAACTTATTATAGGAGAGATCAATTGATTCCAAGTTCCTGCATTAACAGAGAAAAAAAATAAAGGGGTGAAAACATCACAGCATACTATATTGTTTGTGCTACACTCTGTACAAAATAGTGCTTAACATGATTACAAGGAAACTAAATTAAAGGGAAATTTGTTTCTGTTAATGGAACAGAATGTGTTTTATGGAACATGGTCATGCGTAATTACTCTGGGAATAGAAAGAATGGAAGTCGTTAACTATCAATCAAGCACAGTGATTCTGTTGATGGGAAGAATTCTACAGTAATGAGTACAGAGGGAAGGTATGCATAGGGGAAACCCAAGGGACTAATCTGTGATTGACATGCACTGCAGAATTGCTCGAATGAGGTACACTGGAAAACACACAATAAGCTTGGGACTTCAGTGGTTATCCCATTAACAGAGATTTTAAAATTTTGTTCTAAAGCCCATTTGCAATTGTATTGTTTTGTGAACAGCTCCTTCAGAATCATTCCATTGTGCTTCACTTCCAGAGATGAGAGAAGCTGTTAGAAACAGTGTGGTGGTTTTCAGATTAAGCAAATCAAGAAATCAGCTGATAGTTCTGCAGCTGATAGGTTATGGCAATGTGCAATATGTAGCTTGGCAAATAATTTACCAGAAGAATCAAAAGCAGTATAGTCTTTTGCTTCTTTCATTCTCATGGCTTGCTCTGCTTATGTTCTACCCAATGCAGCTGCACAGTCTTCCCTTCATCTTATATACTTTCATAATTTTTTATCTAATGGGAAATAAGTCTAGGACAATATTAAATGTTTAATAAATTTTTTAAAATTAAATTTCTAATTACCTATGAGATAATTATATGTTAATACTAAATTATTGTATAATTGTGTGGAGTGTTATTGAAAATTCATGTTCATTTTTTTCTGACCATCCAATTTAAAAATATTGAAACTTTTGTGTTAATATGGTATAGACTTGAGGTATAAGATCTTTTTGTTTGAAAGATGACTGAATACTTTCTAGATTATACAATTTAAGCAAAGGAAATAAAGACAAATTAGCTAAGGATAACATGCAAATCAAAAGATGACTACAATTTAAGGTTAAAAGTAATGAAGTGCAAATACTAATTTCATTATCTGGCTCGCTAACAACAGAAAAATAATTATATTTAAAATTATTTGTACTTACTCTTGGTTTATCCAAGCCAAAGGTGCTATTCTGTGCTCTTCTAATTTGTTATGCTTTAACACAATGACATTTATGTTTCTTGTATGATTAAAGCAAATTTCTGACACTTCTTCAATTTGGTTGTTTTCAAGGTATAACTCCTATAAGTGCATTTGGAAAAAAAACATTGTGAAAGCAAAATGTACTGTTCTTCCCCACTGCAAATTCAAAATGTAGCTATTACTTGATAGATCTGTTAATTTCTGAATCTGAATCAGTTTGAGGCTATGGTGTGACTTTCAGAAACAATTTTTCAAAGCAATTGTTTTGTTTTCTCATTTGTGAGAATACAGATTGCTTTGAAAGTTCAAATAGAAAAAGTTATTTATTTTGTCTTGCCTGAAGTTGTAAAGTGTAAAAGTATATAATGTGAGAGTGATGAGATTGACAGAGAGTTGTTAATTTTTTTTTGTCTTGCAGTTATTAGTGGGAATTAAGAGTCTTATTATTTTTACTGGGCGTTCGTGAGCGTTGAAACTTTCAGATTTATGGGAATATAAATTGTTACTCTTCTATAAAACTTAATGTTGTGAATCTGCAGTGTATCAAAACTGTGTTTTATACAGATTAAGTTCCTGATATTGGCTTGTATTGTAGAATAAAAGTGATATTAAATAAAAATGGAGCAATGACTGGAATATGTGTAGGACTTGAAATACAATTTAGAGCCTGCAGAGGAAGGCTTTGGGAAAAGAGAAAAGCAATGTTGCAGCCTGAAAATAATTGTTTGTGAATTTATTAGGTGTTGGTTTAAAATTAAATGTTTGCCAAATATATGAAATGTAGAAAAACTTGCCAGGTGTTCAGAGTTTCATCAAGGAGGGTTGAAATGAAAAAAAAAAAAAAAGTGTAAGGTATGAGTGGAGAAAATGAGACTGAAGTGAAGTTGCAGACAGTAGCTGCAGAAGAAGATAATGTTACAGGAAAGATACTGTTGCTTTTGCTCCCCATCCTCCTTGCTGTTCAGATTATGGAAGATCTCATGGATAAAAGGAAAAAAATACAAGGACACTGTAAGAGCAAAAGGAAAGGTAGAATGAAGAGAGATAGTGATATTAATAGGTAGCAGGTACTGTCTTTGAAGTAAAGACTGAGGTTAAGTAGAGAATGAAACTAGACAGATATTTAAAAGGAGGAAGAAAATACCTTCCAGATAGCATCCCTAAAAAACCTGGATCAAACCACTGCAACAAATCACATTCAAATTCTGGACAGAGGAATGGGATGGGAGACTACCAAAAGAATAAATTTGTGGATTAAAAATCAAGGAATGAGGAAACTGTTGAGGGGAGAGAAATAAACCTCCCATTTGAACACTGCCCCTCACCCCACATGAAGCGGAATTCAGTGAAAGTTTGGAAAACCAGGGAAATTGAGACTTAGACCACCCAAAATCAGAGGATGGTTAGATATAGGCATTTCTCTCTTTCTCTCTCTCTCTCAGACTAGATAATCTTGGTTCCTTTCGTCTTTCCTTACAGAACAGGTTTTGTAGATCTCATCATTCTTCTTGCTGTCTTGTGAAGTTTACTCTGTGTGGTAACTCAAAGCTCACAATGTTCTTGCACAAAGACATTATCTGTATTAGAAGTGTTATGTGAGTGATGTGTAACTGAACAGACAGAAATTGCAGGCTATGCTATTTTGTGAGACAGTAATAGATAAATTCAGACTTAAAAGATAGCTTTTGGGATGGAACTGGTATATAAGTAAATTTCTAGAGTTAATGATTTAGGAATAAAAATTATGAGTATACGTAGAAAGTATAAAAGTTAAATTCGTCTTTACCTGATGATTATAAGGCAGTAAGTGGAAAAAAAAATATTAAAATGTCTGGGAAAATTAAGCTTTCTTGTTTTGGGTGTTTGGGTTTTTTTGCTTTTTTGCTTGACTCGTTTTTACCTCAAGAGTGGCAGGAAGACCTTGTGGGATAATTCTAAATTTATTTCTTCCCAGTCGCAAATAGGAGAGACTTTTCAAAGGATAAAAGGCCAAAGGACTGACATTTGCTTCACTAAGTTTATTTCCTTCTAATTCCAAGGTGACCAAGTTCTTTAAATCTGGAGAGAAAAAGTCAGAATTTCTGTTAGTTAATGCCATCTCGTATCTTGTTAAAATGCATGTTTAGAATTTAGTTGTCTTTACTCAGTTCAGTGCACAGCAGTGAATAAATATAGTGAAAAGATTTGTATTTATCTCATAATCACAGAATTGTATAGCTTATTATTTGTAGAACTTTAGAGATTGGCCTGCAGCTTTATTTGTAACTCTCCCAGTTAGAGTGGGAAAGGCGGCAGCTGTAAGATCTGTGGGTAGTGGTGCTGTTGGAGCCCCATGACTTCATGGCTGTGTGCAGGTGATGTTTGGAATGCTAGCGGGGCCCTGACCTTTGTGCTGTTGCTCAGTCATCTCCGTGGGTCTGCAGTCGCCCTCGTGGTAATGGGTGTGTTACTCTTCCTTTGGGCTCACCCCTTGCCCTCCCTGCTTTACGCCTTTACACCCACTGTACTGTGGTGAGAACCCTTCACAGATGATACTGTTCCTCAGCCGTGCAAATGCAGGTCACAGAAGAAACCAGTGTTGATCAGTGTATGTAAGCAGGAGATACTACTTCATAATAAGAAGTTCCTGATTCATAAGTAATCCAAATAACTTTTTTTACAGAGGCTTTGTATAGATCCTCCTAACAATGCAGTTTGATGATTTTAAACTAAAAAACTCTTGCAGCCCTTGGCCTATGTTTTTTTCTATGTCTTAGATCAAGCATTTTTATTGCCCTGTAGTGAGCTGTACCAGTGAACTAATCCAGTTTAAATGGGGGCCCTTTTGGCAGGGGAGGAAAGGGAGGGGGAAAAGCCAATCAAATTATGACATCATGCATGGTACCTTTTTTCTTTTCTTCTTTTTTTTCTTCTTTTTTTTTTTTTTTTTTTGTAGCACCCACATTTAGCTTGACTTAAAATGATCATGGTTAACTCCGATTATATTCTAGCTTATTTTTCATGCACATAAAATTTTGTTCGCTTTCATGGAATTTAAAAAACAACGAGTATAGTTTCACCACACATAAAGCAATCAGATTATGAGTCAGGAGAGTAGATATCTTCAAAATACTTTGAATCCATCTTTACTAACTAACCTTAAATATAAGCTGCTTTGGGAGAATAGCAGTTGCATACAAAGGGAAAATACAACTTTAAAAACCTTTGTCATGCAAGTCTTCTAGCTTTCATTGCCTTTTGAAAACATGGCAACTATTTTTCTGGTTATATCAAAACAGATGCATTTTGTGGAACATTCTGCTTTTCAAATTTATTTTAATCTTTCCATATGATCAATATTAGCTTTCTAAATACCTTGTAAGCCATCTTCATCAATGGCATGAAGGTGGTTGTCATTTATTTTTATTTCTTCCAAAGTTGATGGCAATTCAGAGGGAATATGTACCAGCATATTTCCATCCAAATACAAACGTTTTAGCTTCTTCAGGATCTTATTCATAGGGATGAAGAAGACAACTTAGATTATCAAGGTGTAAAATATATGGTTAAACGTAAGTATAATCATAGTCAGCATTTTCTTAAACATGTACTTTTGGAAGATTTTTAGCACCAGTGCACTAATATCCAGTGTTTGGAATTTAAAAAAGCTTTTTTTTAAATCAGTCTAATTAATTGTTTTCTTTATTCAAAATATTAACAAAGGTGCCAGTTAGTGTAACATGTAACTGGGGCAGCTTGATTGAGCACACAAACTTTCCACATGGCCATGCTGCAGCTCTGCAGTCATAACAGTTTGTATTACTGTTACTGAGTCCTGCAGATATTGCCCTACTACACTGCTGCAGTATTTAGGAGTTCAAAGTGCATACATTTATAGATAATGCATTAATACTTTTAATTTTTGATCAAATTGATGGTTTTCTGTAGGTCAGTAAATTTACTTTACTCAAGTGTAACAGCAGCAACTTTTTCAGTGACCTGGGATTTTTATGACTTCAGCCAGCTTAAATTGGTATGAAAACCCATCATAGCTTAATTTTGATAAATGCACATCAATAATCATGTCGTAGTGAGCATTTCTTAAAAAGGTGGAGTTGTTTTAGCAGCAGATCCACTGACGCCTGCTTTCCTCCAGTTTTGTCTTAACTTCCTGGTGTGATACTTATATCACTCAAATTTATTTCATGATTAAGACACCTTTCAGGTCTGTCTTTTCCATCTACTTTAATTTCATAGGAGTTGTAGGAACTGAAGTACTTTGAAATTGGCCAAAGCTGTTCGTGTTATATGGAGGGAAGGTGTTGTGCAGAGTCCTACCAGAAAGAAGACTGATTGCATATGGCAGGAAATAAAATTAAAAACATAGTGTGGTAATTAAATTTGTTGTTAATATGCTTTTTGTATTCATCTTGCCTGAAAAAAGTAAGGCCTTGATGCCTTATTTCCACACTTGAATTACTACCTGTACATATCTGAATGAGAGATTATTATGGGAGTATGCTGTCTTCAAGTGAAGAATATATAAATGCACTTGAATAGCCTGTTAAATTCCCCTTGCAAGAAACAGAGAGAATATAGATTCTTGGACTATTTTATGAGAAAGCTGTTCTGTTAGTAAGCAGCTATGCTTGAAAGTTTCTCATTAAAGATAGTCACCAATCATACAGCTAATTACATGAACTGCTGTTGAGTAAGACCTGGCATAGGCAGTTTTGGGAACCCAAGAGCATAAGCTTTACAGAGCTACTGTAGTGAGAAAGATGATACATAAATTTACAAATGTTGAGCCTGAATATCCCAGATGTTTATGTAATATGAACACTTAATTTCTGAAATCTCTCAACTGCAACTGATAAAATATCAGAAAATTGTCTCTCTTGTTGTTTAACATTTACTGCTTGGTCAATGTTATTCAAAAATATCTAGATAGTCTTGATTATGATGAGAGATTTCTTGAAATAGCCAGGTTTAACTGTATTTTAATTATACAATGGTTACTCATTCTAGGTGCAAACTGGTTTAGAACCATAGACTGAAAAGCAGGAAAACCTTTCCTTTAAGCAATAATTAGACATAGGATAGTAGATAAGTTAGGCTTTCTTACCTTGAATGCTTGTGGACCTATTCCAGGAGATGTAATATTATTTTTACTCAGATCAATCCATTCCAAATTAGGTATCCCATTGAATGCTTCATCTGAGATAGTAGTGATGCTATTTCCTAGGAGAGAATTCAAGCAAATAGTTTGTATTATGAGTTAAAGTATGCATCTGGGTTGTTTAGTATTGTACATAAAAAATATATTACAGAAATCATTGTATTATATACTATAATTGTGTGTAGATAAAATCGTACTAGCATTTAAACATTAGTAAGCAAATCTAACATTTTAAATTTGTTGGTTTAGAGCCTTAGCTGTAAAATTCTTTCTAAGAAGCTTCTATGATAAGGAATAACAAAGTTTTAACAGCAGTGTTGACTGCATTTGAGAATGGATAATGTTGACAAATGCATGACAAAAATCATGCAAAGTAGACCCGCTATTTACCTGTAAGGTCTAGACTAGTTAGATCTGGATCTGAGATTGGTGGTATTTGTGTAAGTTTGGCATTAATACAGCTTACTGTGGTGTCAGAGGTGGAACATCCAGCTGGCAAAGGAGGAGCTTCTATGGGTGGAACAGGAATGGGGAAATGAGATGGCATTCTGAAAGTACCGTCATCTTCATCACTTTCATACTGTATTTCTTCTTCTGCAGCTCCCTTTCTTGTCACAGGTTTCTTTCCTCTGCGATAGGCTTTAAACTTCTGTCGATTTCTTTTGCCTTTCCTTTTTCTTTTCTTTTCACCCTTTTTACGACCCTCTTTCTCTTTAAAGTCTACCACTTCTGTTCTAAGCAGTTCATCTTTTTCAGTTTGAGTAGGTGCTGATGACAATACATTGGTGTTGTCAAGGTCACTGGGTTCTGGAGAATCACCAGACAACTCACTTATGTCATCCAGTGAAATAATACTTGAATCCAAAGAGGAGGCTAACAAGAGGCAGAGAATGGGGGGAAAAAAAAAAAAAAAAGTTGTCTGATAAGAGGATACAAAACTAAGGTTTTAGTAAACATTGTTCCACTCATATGGTAAAAATATGGTAATTATAGAAGAATAGTATTCCCCTTAGAATATGATTTGAGAGAATGAAAAAATACTTATATTACTGCTTGACAGATGAGACATACTTTGAGAAATGATTAAACCAACCATACAGAAGTTTGTAAACATGTATGATTCATTGCAACTCAAAAAAAAGTGGGAAAAATTAATATAACCTTCATTATCTTCCTTTTTGAACTAATATATTCAATTTTTGTGTTGATGGAGGTGTCTAAAGAGGAAAAAGAATGTGTCTGGGAGTGAGAGAAAGGTAATTTAAAGGAAATTCAGAAAGGTTAAGGCATGTTCTTGTGTGCAAGGGACTGTCAGGTGTCGAGATGGCTGCAGGTGGGGACCTCACCAGGGAAATAAATGTGTTAGCTTCATTACCAAAATGTAGTTTTTACTCACGTAGCAGAACAATTCAAGTACAGGGAGTTTAATTGTTGCAGTCAATGTGACTTCTAGCTCTACGGTTAATTTCTTTGATTTTTCTACTCCGTGCTTCTGTGTGTCACACACACACACACACACACACACGAGGCTAAATAATATTTTTATGGTAAGAGGAGGTTAAGTCCACTACTTTGCAGACCTAGGGTACTGGGAATGGGGGAAAGAAATCACATTTCATCTTTATATCCTCCATTCCTTTTCTTTTTAAAGATACTGATTTTATTTAAATTTTTATGAAGAAGCAGCAAGATTGTAGTTCTGTTGTTCCTCTTGTGAGTTGACTTTCTTCTCTTGATTTGTACCAAATAGCTGCATGTTTTTATACTCCTAACAACCAGTCTGTAAACTGTATGATGTTCATTATGTATGTCTAGTACATTCATAATGGCTAGGAGATATTGATTGATCCTTTGGAAATGGAAGTGGCATATAAAATGTAATCAGGTAAAGGCAGGAGTGAAGAAGCAGAAAGGGAAAATAAATTTTAAAAAGTATCATTATCTTTACTATTGCATACTTAACATCTTTTCTTTAAATACATCAAACTCATCAAACAGCCAGTGTACTCTAAGAAGCAGAAGTCAACTTGAGTAAAAATTATGAAGACCTGCTCTTACCATTTAATTCAGGACTTGTTTTCTCTGTAAAAGGATAAAGTGTACCTTGTAATCCTTGGTGTAGTGTTTATGTTAGGTTTTGCATGAGGTAGTTTTAAAACAGTAAAAATATTAGGGTGTACTGTACCAGTATCAGAACAAACTGGGCAGCATTCTCCAGCAGGTATCATAGTTTGGGGACATTTCAGAGGGTGGCACATGGTTGTATCACATATCACTTCTCCTTTTGAACAGAGACAGGTAATGCAGGGCTTGGGAGACCAGACGGCTTTATCATACAGAATCATCCCATTAGCTGTGCAGTGCCCATTCTTTCCTAAGAAAAGACATTAGAATATTGGATTTAAATAGCTTAAACTAAATTAAAATCAACAGTATTTATTTAAATCTTTGGAAAGAAGCACGGCTCTTCTCATTTTGAAAATGTGTAAAATATACCCTATTCTCAGTATCTTATCCTCATTCCTTGTTTTTCATAGCTGTATTTTCTCCAGGTTATTAGTAGTCTCCACTGCCTGTGTCATTCTTGGCCGCTTGGCTGTGAAGGCAGTCAAGAGGAGGCACACAATTACTGTGTATGGAGCTGTTACCTGCCTGCAGCTTCACAGTGAAAACTGAGTGCAGGTTCTCTGTCCCTCTAACTGTCTGCTCCCTCTATTTCAGGCAGCCATCGCAATGGTTCATTTCCCCTCTTCCTAGTCAGCTCATGAGGCCCCTTACCAGCCTTGGAAAAACTATTAAATTTATTCAAGTTCTGAGATATTCCTAAAATGAGAAAATTAAATCTAGGCACTGAGTTTCTAAGGGTCTTTTTCATGGCAGCTCCTCTTTCTTCTCCATCCTTAGAAATGGAAAGCAGAAATCACAATCTTGATCAAAGCTGTGCATAGGTACAGTTGAGAAAGAAGCAAAAGTTTTCTTCATCACAGTAGAGTTAAAATAAGTCATGCAGAACTTGAGAATATTTTTCCCAGACCCCCTTCTGTTTCTCTCTTGCACACTAGACATCTTTTCTAAAATCTTGAACATTAAATGGGGAGGTTTTGTAAAGGCTCTGTGGAACTGGGAGGGTAACAGTATTCACTTCATAGTAGCTGTTCATAGGCTTAATGGAAGTAAAGTCCACTTTGTAATGACTGGTAAGATGGCAAACATCTCTTCCCTGTAACTTGCTATATCTGAAAAAATCTCTTTGCTAGGAAGGTAGCAAGCTTGAACAACTTGTGGTGATAAATACTTAATCTCCAAAGTTTCTGGACATGAATTTACAAAAATTGAGTAGAACAAAATTGGTACTCTTCAGAGTACCAGTCAGAATTTTCAGAAAGAAATGTGGAAGAGATTTATTTTGTAATCTACACTCAAACATTCAGTAGGCAAGTTGTTTAGAGAGTGTAAGACTTGAGAAGGAAACTATTCCAAGTCTCTCTTTCCTTCCAGTGATGAAGTCTACCTCAGCAAAAGTTTCCCTGGGCAGTTCTCATCCAGACTCCAGGATAAACATTGCACTTCAGCATGACACTTTTTTTTCAGCCTTCTGAGAGAAGGAAAGCCAAGGTTGAGATTATTTATCCCATGCAAATCTTTTCCTGTTTTTGCGTGTACCTCTGAATCTGGTGATAATCTGTAGTCCATACACACACACACCTTCCTTTTCCTCTTTCTAATGTAAGAATGCACTGCTGAAGTGTTTCTTCCAGGCTGAGAACCCATTCCTAAGTTACTTTGTACTTTCCTGTGTAAAAATAATAAAAAAAATTTTTCTTCTTTTCCTATTTGGTTTGACTTTCTCCTTCAGATGAAGATTGTCTAATGCAGTGGAAAAAATCTCATCTCAACTGAATTTACAAGCAAGAGACTTTTATATTTGTCACAGACAAATTGTCTTTGGAAGGATTGTTTGCAGGGTTTGTTGTCCCACGCTCCACCCTGGTCCATACTTGGTTGTTCATTTTTATGAATAGTATTCAGGGTAGTCTCTAAATATCCTGACAAGACTATTGTAGATATTTGGGTTGAAATGTCTCTGGAATGAATATTTGATTCAAAATGAGGCGCTCTGCTAGGTCCTTCAAGGTAGTCCTACTCTCAGCTTCATAACAAAGTTATTCCTTTGCCATTCTATTTAAAACTATTGGACATGAACATGTCTTCTAGAATAAAAACTAATTATCAGAACCATCCTGTTTGCATGCTCCTTTATATTCCTTATATTTTTAAAAAGTGCTCTTTTGGTTTAATTTTCTTTCAGGATGGAAAGGGAGAGATTAATTTTTTTGACAGTTGCATCTTGTTTTTTTAAAGGTCCAGGATCCATATGCATCATTTCAGCCGCAGGAAGTTGTTCTCTAATCAACTCAAGCCATGTTAACTGAAGGAAGAGATGAGTTAGCCCAGGCCAAATGTTAACTGGCTCTAAATCCCTTGTCATTCTACCCAGGTATCTGTAATCCAGCTGTTTGCTGGATCCTGACTTCTGGTTTTTATATGCTTGCCAGGAAGCCACAATATTTCTTTTAAATAATCTCCAAAGGAAACACAAAGAGAACACTACACTTTCTCATGTTAAACAATAAAATGTCAGATGTTCCAGACAAACATATCTGGCTTGAGATGGAAATTCTTCTATGCTTCCTTAAATTTTTTATTTTGTTTTAGCTACTAGACTGTATCTGAATTTGGTGCAAGTCTTGTCTGAATAAGCATAAAGTTATGAGTTATCAGGCCTTGGCCTGTGCAGAGGTCTTAAACAAATTATCTTGTTTTTTCGTTGTTCTGCACTTTTAATTAACTCTTACATACAAGTGCGTGTGCTCAAAGGCCAAGAGATGACCTTTTGTTGTGTTGCAGAACTGCAATTTGGCACTCCGTTGGAACTCATATAATCTGCATGAGACAGAGTAAAGATTGAAATGCTCCTTAAACCTCCCATCCACTGAATGACTTCAGTATGGTGATGGGAGCAGGGAGAAGTGCCGTGTAAGAGATATTGGAAATAGTGCAACAGTGCACGTCCTATTCTGCATTGCTTAATGGACAAACAGCTGCAATTTAACTTACATTGTGGTGAACTGTTTGATTTAATTTAAATGGTTCATATGATTTTTATATGGGGGAAGGAAATATGTCTGGTTGCTGTTAAACCTCTATTTAACTGTTAATTTTCATCCTGTATATAATATCTGTAAATTGTTTTTTTAGGCTACTAAGAGCAAAATAAATAGCTAGGAGAATGAAAATTAACTTTTGGATTGTATTTTCCTCTGTTCTGAAGCATGATTAATAATAGTGTCCTATTATTTAATAGGCTCTGTTTTTTCCAAATCTGACATTAACTTGAAAAAATTTTGAACTTTAAAAGCTAGACTAAAAAATACCTTGTGGTTGAAGTTTTTGGCAGATGAGGACAGGACTTTTAACCTTTGGAAATATGGTGTAAATTCAGCATGAAGTTCCAAAAAAAATGAGTTCAGTGGTTTTAGCTCAGCTTTTGGATGCAAGTCCAGATAGAAACAAACGGGGTGGGGAGAGGGGAAGAACCATGCATTATTTCAGCATGACTGATGGTCTCTGACAGAGAGACTGGAATATCTTACATGAAGTGTATGCTGTTTATGTGGTATTTTCCTCTGTTTAATTCAAAAAATATTTTTGAATTAAAGGTTTGATATTAGTAGTGTGTACTGTAAGAGTAATGTTGTAGTACATGCTAGAAATGCTATAGTCAAGGGTTTTGGTAGTTTTGCTGTTAAAACCTCTTACTTAAAAATATTTGAATCATGGAATACCAGGTTGGAAGGGATCTTAAGGATTATCTGGTCCAACCTTTCTTGGCAAAAGCACATGATTTGAAATAGTTTGGCTTTTCTGAAAGTAAGGACTCACAACAAATAGTAATTGTTAAGCAAATGTGACTAAAATATGTTTTGTCATTTGAGACCTATTAACCGAGTGGTTATGTCTCTTGTGTGACATACTAAAAGGCTTACCTTTTTGCTTATAAAAATAGATTCTTGTCATTTTACACAGAACAGTGGTAATCAGGGCATTCTTGTTTTTCACAAAATTGCATATCTAACTCAGTGTGTGTTCTCAGTACTGAAATGGAGATATCTATGTCTATATTTGTTAGCTATAGAGTGGACATGACCTCATATTGGTTTCTTATAACATCCCATTGTCTTTTCTTGAACCTTTGAACCTCTTTCTATGAAAATAATTGAAGTATTATAACATCTTAATAATTTTCAATTGGTTGATATCTGAGGTTTCAAAATTGAGAAGTAATGGTTGAAGTTCTTCAGAATGGATGTCTGATTTTTAGACTCTTGTGAATCTTAATTTCCTGTTTTGTGAGTTGTAATTTTGCGTCTGTGGTGGTGAACATAAAATCACAAGCACCCTAGAGCAAGAGTTCTCTCTTTAACTGTGCTAAGGACCAAAGAGACACTTTACAACTATCAGTTCTCAGTCCCTGTCTGGTCTTGTATTCTCTGAGATCGTAGAGAGGCCTGTTATTCCCAAGGCAGGTTTCAGTGAAGACGAATGGAAATATGCTTTTTGTTTGTTTCTTTCTTAAGACATCATAATTCTCTTCTCTACATCTCATTCAAAACCCATAAAATACATATTAGTGCAGCAATGTAAAAACCCCTAGATCCCTGCAAAGGCAAATTTTATATAAATCATACTACTGAGTTTCTTTTAAATAAATCCCGGTTCTCAATATAGATGGAGTATAAGAGTGATCTTGTATTGAATGGGTGGGGGGTTTCTCTTAGATTAGTTTTCTATCATAAGTGTCTTGTTTGTCATGTAAGTTTCATATTGCAACTATTACTGTGTGTTATTTATTTACAAAATAAATAATTATTCCTGAAATACTGCATGTAGACATAGTTTGAATGCTGCTTTTCAAAAACACAAACAATAAAAAAGAACTTCTAAATAACAAATAACACTGGTGTTACTGGTGTTAGGGCCTCAGAGAAATGTTAATTGACTTAGGAGCTATATTGAGCAAGAAATTCTTCAGAGTGGTCTTCAAACTTGCTATGTGTTAGAAGTTATGAAACTACTGCAACAACATTTGTATTAAGATGAAATGAGAATATAGAAAAAATGCAGAAAATATTAGTTACCTGGCAGAGCATGTTTCTCTGTAAGGCTTAAGTACAGACAATTAAAAAGCTTCATATACTAACTACAAAATTATTATAAGAGGCAACAAAAGTAGGTTAGCAAAAAGACAATTGAGTTTTATTTCCGTATGTGTTGCAAGTAGAGCTAATATAAAGCTTTCATGACCATATACATTTCATTTGAAATCAAGAGAAAAATTGACCCACTCTTTATTAGTAGAGGGGCTTTATTCTTACCTGGTAAGACACTGTAACTAGATTCTTGTCCTCCCACACCTATGAGAGAGTCAAACACTCCCATAACACTGTCATCAATATTAATAAGAGGTATGCTGGGTCCTACAGCAACAGGAGCTGGCAGCTTCGTCCTTGGCTGTCTGGGGGACCTGTGCCCTGCAGAGTTGCCCCTTCTCAGTCCTCGGGAGCGCATTCTTCTCCTTGGCCTCCGGAGAGGTGCACTGGTTTCATTTTGACAAAAATCAATGCACAGAGACACAAGCAGGAAATAATGGACTAATGATGTAGCCTGCATGTTTTAGTGTGTCTCAAAGTATCCTGAAATGGGAAAAAAAAAAAGAGGTAAATTAGATACTAGAGAGCTTTTAGGGTTAAGTCAGTCATATGGTGCACTTTTCAAAGCATGGTAGGTCAGTGTAACCAAGCTTCCTCTTGGAAGGAGATTGCCCGATGAGTTAAAGCAACAGTTTTGTTTTGTGGTTCTCTGCCCTTATGGGCAGTAGTAAAATTGAAATAGGTGCTAGCTTTGTTTCTGGGGCTGCGTTTAAACAGGTAGTTTAGATTTGCAGTGCCGCCAGGCATTTGCAGTTTAGTAATTATTACTGCAAGGGAGTTCTTGAGAGCTGTAAAAGAGTTTCTCCACTTTTTTGATTGCTAATGTTTCATCCTGGTTATTGTAAGTTCTGAACATGGGAATGGCAAAGAAGCAGAAAAATGCCAATTTGTTTCTGATATGCCAGCCTAAATGCTTTTGGTTTGTAATTTCTCTGCAAAGTATTTTTTACCATAGATGAAGAGAGATGTTGCTTTTGCTTCCATTTCTAGCCATCCTCCTCTTTAACAGAATCTTTTTGGTTTTGCAGTAGAGGACACCTTTTGGAAGTTTGATCACAATAGTACTATTGCTGACATCCCACATCTGCTTTTCTAGTGCAAGTTTTCATTAGATATAGGTAGTCTAAAAAGGTTGATATATAGCGAGTTGTGCTCTGCATTTACTTTCAAAGAAATTCAAAATTACTATATACCTTGAGGCTGCTTATGTTTCTGACAGAACAATCACGTTTACTGTCACCAATAGGTGGCATTCCAAAACAGAGCAGTGGGGATTCAGGAGTAGGCATAGAAAGCATATCCAGCAATGGCTCTACCAGGGTGGAAATAAGGCTATGCATGTCCAAATTTATTAATGATTTGTCATAGATCTGTTGGCGTAATTCTTCAAAAAGGAAACGCTCTTGTTCTGTGACCTATTTTAACTGAGATGGTAGAGTCTGAAGACACTAGTATTCTTGTGGTGTTGAGAATTAGTGAAGAACTTGAGACTTAGTGCACTTAATCTTTGTGTCCAAGACAAGGCTTAGAGTTATGTCCATGGTTTTTCTCTAACGAAGTCTTGAGGGGATTAAAAAATGCCTTTTCTTAATGTTCATCAGTCTGGCTTTACATGTAGTCTTTCACTTCGGAGTTAAGTCTTATTATAGTTACTTATGTTGTATAAATACAGGATAGTATTATTTCAAGAAGGGCGTTTTTGCCTAAATGAAATGTTTTCTAAAAGTTTGTGCACTCAGTATTTTCTGATTTATATATAATAGTTTTTGGTACAAGTTGCCTAACTTTTCTTTAACATGAGGCATGTGATTGATCGCGTGTTTTTATGCTTTCCACAGCATAATTTTCATAATTTTTATTCACACATTTTTAAATGGGAAGTTGACAGTAAATAAGCTTTACACAGTATGCTTTTACTTCTTTCTAATATTGTGGTTTCTCTGTTCAACTATTTTAATTTTAAAACATTATAGCAAATATCTATTAACTTGTAGAATTTTGTTAAGCTAAGCTAATGTTTTTATTTCCATATAAAGGGAATTTGAGATGCAAGTGTCTCACATGAATCCCCATAAGGTCTCCTGCAAGAGCAGGGTTCTGGAATTAAGCCAGACTTTAGTTTACTGATTTCTACCTCTTAGAAATCAGTTATTCCAAAATGTGATATAGATTTTATACTTGCCTTTTATTTACAGAAATTACTGTTAGTTAACGTATCAGATACAGAAGTTTGTACTTTGCATTGATGACTTCTTTTTCAGAAAATGTATGTTTCTTAGTACCTCAGCTTGTAGGACAAATGACTTAATGTTTTTGGTTTCTAACTTACTTGCATGGTAATGACAGGCTATAAAATTACACAGTAAACTTCTGTTCAGCTAGTTTGAATGAAACACACAAAGAGCCCTTAGGGAAAACTGAATATACAAAGAAAAGTCTTGAACATGTGTATTCATTCTGTTGAGTTAGTGACCTCTTAATTATAGTCACATTTTTATAGTATACTTTATAATGATGACATAGCTATGTAGTTACAATGCTACTACATTACATTTGTGCTTTTTTAACATTTAACCATTTCTTCCTGTGAGCAGAGGCATATAATGGCAAGACTGAAACACTTTTCCATTCTCTATGCATGTATTTTTAAGTCAGGACTAATATAGGGTAAATTACATTTACTGTACAAATGATGTGTCAGGGTTTTGCTGTTAGCTTCAATATGGAGTAAAACTCTAGGAAATCAAATTACTTTAAAGTGAAACTTATTTTTATAAAATTCTTTATAATGACAAATAAAAAGAATAAACAATGGAAAACACCACCCACCTAATATGTCTTTATAAAGTAATGCTGTTCATATATGTGAGGTTTATATGCTGTATTTTCACACCAAGTTAAGTCTTTAGTACCGAAGGCTTAATAATGCTACTTTCAATCAAATGGTGTTCCTTGCATGCAAAATACTGAATCACATTTCTAAGTTTCTTTCCTTGGCTTATTAATAAATGCTGTCTCACATTTTAAGGCCCAAATTGTGAATGTCATACAAGAAAAAGGCCTTAAATGCATTGGGCCTTTATTACCCTTGACTGCAATCCTCAGATTATCAGGAATTTATATTTAGTATAGTGCCAGTCAACTTTTAATTTCAGGAAAATTAAACCTATTCAACTTATTTGACTTTTGTAATAAATTATTACATATAAAAATAAAATTATAGATAGCTAATATAATGAAATTATTACATCTTTGTGTTGCCAGATGCTCTCAACATGGCTGCATTGCTACACCTTTTTTTAACTTTACCCATAGATGTTTAGATCATGCATAGTATGTGCAAGCATCTTCATTACCTTTTTTATCACTAATGTGTTCAGTAGTTTGTAGCTTTCAAAATGTTTTTCTTCAGTAAGTTCAGTATCTGTCATTTTGCTATTATGTTAATGGCAATAGTTAATTGTTAAAGTAGTGACCATTTAGAAATACCAGAGTATCAGCATTTATTAAATAATCTATATCTATTCAGTCTAAATTCAAACAGGTTTCTAAGATGTCAAGGTTATTTCTCATGATACACAGGGGTTAAAATGATTTACCAAGATGTTTCACATATATTCTTTAAATTTATTGCATAGAAATGAGTTACATTTAAGCCATACCAGCAAAACTAATTGCACTTTCAGTTAGTTTAAGCTTGAAGTGCGTGGCAAACATTCATACCGAACAAAAAGCAGATCAACTGGTTTTACATACTTTATGGAGAAAAGCATTTATGTTCCGTATTGCTAAATATAGCTAATATTATTTCATACATATTTGCAAAGTTAACATGTAGTTTAAGCCATTCAACACCATGCTTTAAGCAGTAATTTAAAATGTAAAACATTTTACCTTGTAATCTAACCTAACAGCAGATTCTGCTTGGTGTCATTTAGTCTCCAGTTGCAAATGAAACAAAATCACAGTGATATCTTTAAAACAAACAGAGAAACAGTAGGGATTGTTGAAACATGTTAGATGATTCCTTAGTTAAGTCTGAAATAGCTTCTTTCCCTGGGGACAAAGCGCTCTTCTGTTCTGTGTGCAGAGAATCGGCTAATACTGTTACTCGGAGAACTAAAAAGCTCACTTAAGGAAAATGAAAAGCAGCACAATATGTTCGGTCCGTAGGCTGACAAGGCACAGCTGGAAATTCTCTTTCAGTACTTACAGTTGCATGAGGAACAGGGAAATGGAGTGTTTTCAAAAGACACAAAAAATGTGTATTTTATTCAGTTCTGGTTTATGTATTTAGAAATTGAATTTCCAGGTGGCATAATTTTAATGTAGTTTTATTATTTTGCAGCGATAATACATATTGGCAAGTGTAACCTTAACATAAAAATATTTATTAAAATTAGAACATTTTTCTTCAAATCCTATTTTCTTAATCCGCTCCTACCCTTACAGCCTATAATCTAGAAGCAGCAAACCTTTCTGTTGAAGTTTTAGCATGGAAAATTTTTCTTTTGTCCATTTACAGCGATGATTTCACCATAAGTTGTAGTTTATGCATGGAAAATAAAATGACTGAAACATTTTCCCTTCTTTTTTTTTTTTTTTTTTTTTTTTTTTTTTTTTTTTTTTTTTTTTTTGTAAGGCTAATTACATCCTGAAACATGATCCTGAAGCACAGCTATGCAGAAGCTGCAGTGAAGTTAGTAATCCAAATATGAGAACTGAGGGGGGGGGGAAGGGAGGGAAAAATGGTACGTTACCACAAGTCCTTTGTATGCCAGCAGAGCCTTTTCCTTCATCACCAGATAGAGCTTCTGCAGAGTGTCAGGGTCTGCTGAGTCTGCTAAGCCTCAGAAATGACAAATTTACCTCATAGATGGAGTTGTCTGAGTTCTTCTGACATTAAAAATTTGTTGTTTGCTTGAATTCGTACTCAGAGGAATGGTTAGCCAGATAGTCATGGAATGGTATAACCATTGAGTTAACCATAATTGTTAGCCGGAATGTGGTGGAAAGATACTGGGAAAACATTGTCTCTTAAAATAGTCATTTAGTTTATACTGTGCTGTGCTTTGCAAAGAAGAAATATTAATCTTTTGTAGTCTGTCTGGAGCGGTGTAAAAAGAATGGAGATAGTTATACTTCACAAATGGAGCTAGTATCTGGAATGAGACAGCGCTGTTCGGTACCTGTGCTAAAAACACTGATTTGTGAAGGGTGAGTCAACAACGGTTCTTCAGGCACAAGGCGGGGAAAGAACAGCAAATTAGATCATCTTCTCATGGTTGTGCATGTCAGGTAAAAGACTGTGTATGGAAAGAAATGATGGCGTATTAGACACAAAAGTGACAGCATTCGCTTCTTTAGATATTTAAATGTGGCTTCCTGCGCTTCTGATCGCTGTCCCAGGATTATCTCCTGGTAGTGTTCAGGCACACACCGCCGGAAAGCCTGCCCAGCTGGGACATGGGGTTGCCCGCTAGTAGGCCATTACAGGGGATCTGGCTGGCCTTTGTGCAAGTGAAGCTCTGGTTTAATGCATCAGCTTCGGATGTGGCATCTCTGGTTGTTGAATTCTAATAAATCCTTAAAGCTGGACTTTTTAGGTTGTGTCATCTCTGTATTTTTTGAAAGGTCAACATCTTCCAGCAGCTTTCCAGAACTGAGTGGGACACCGCCTTGGCTCCTGCTAGATCATAAAGTGAAAATCCCACATCCTCTAAGCAGAGGCTTAGAAGGCTCTCTTAAGGTGTTATTGAATCAGTATCTAGACTTCTCTAAAACAGATAGCATGAGCAGTGAGGCACAAAGGCTTGCTACTTTTAAGGATCTGAAACAATCTTTTCATCTGTTATATGTGTATTCCATAGTCTGGGTTTTGCACAGCAAGCGATTGCTGGTAAGCAAACCCTTCCTCTGATAATTTTATTGCTTCTAATATGCGAGTAAAAGTCCTGGACGCATTATAGTTCTGGTGGTTTCCATGTTTAGCCTTCCTTGTGGCCCCCTTTAAATCACTGCTCTCCTTTAATATGCACACCAAACTGAAGTGCCATCTGGCATTTCTGTTACACACAGTGAAGTTAAAATATTTGAACAAAAGCCTGTTGTACTGAACAAATCATCTAGTTTGTTCTTGTCCTTCATCCCTCTAGTTACCTGGAACGTGGCTTTGTGATTTTAGTAGAACCTGCCATTAGTATGAAACAGAATGCCTGTGGGGCCCTTGCTTATCTTTTTCTCAACTTTAGTTAAGGAAGAAATAAAGACAATCTGAGGTATCTCTAAGGACATAGCTCCCTCTTCATGAAAATGGCGTTACACTTCCCTACAACGAACAATAACGTTTGAAAATTGTGGGAGCTGCTAAAGAGTGTCCCATGGTTACCTGATATCTAGAGTGTTAGGGGGGTTTTTAATTTGTAAAAGTAGTGTTCGAAAAAGGATGTCAGCTACTGCCTTCCAGTAAGATTTAAATATATGTACGATTAATAACTAAATGTTGTTTTAAGACTGTAATTTACATTAAAACCTTCCATGCAAACTTGCCTGTCTTAACTAATGAAAAAGTGCTGTATTATTTGTCTAAAACCTTGGACTAGGATGGCCTTGCGAATTATTTCAGACATATGCAGTTCAGGTAATTTCTGTGTGAGAGGAAAACGTTGTAGTATCCTCAGGGACCTAATATTTACAGTGTTTATGTGAACAATTCACTCTGAGAGCAGAGTTGCCAGTATCTGCTCTGTCCATACGTGCTGTTAATGCCCACCTGTCTCATACGCATGGCCAGTCGTTTGAATAAGTTGTGCAATATAAATGTTATTGTTTATTAAGATGCCTTAATGTGGGATGGTCTCCTTTAGGAGAGAGGAGACTAAGAGTATACAGCAGTGACTAATAATTAAAATGACTTTTTATTATTTTATATCTTATGGCAAACTGCCACAAGAGCACTGTTGCTCTGTGGCTTGAGCAAGAGCCATAAGGATGTGTGAGATGAATCTGGAAGCCTGGAGCCTCTGGCATGGATTCTTCATAAAATCTAGGCTGATCTTTTTTCCTTATAGCTTGTTATTTTAGAGGGACAAGGCTTTCCCTCTTACTTTGCTGAAATTATCCAATGGAAATTATTCAAGAAGTCTTCAGTGAAAAAGAAGGCTTAGAATTTAGATTGGCATCAGGCTTGTTTATACTGGTTATAACATCTCTAACTGTACCTATTAGATGACAGCAATACTCTTGCACCCCTATACTGGTATAAAGTATTGTTTTAAATTTGAGGTATTTCTAGTAATGGGTTCCCTATTTCTACTTGAGTGTCTGTGATCTCTTGCCACATTAAGTAGCAATGAAATAGTTAGAATCTTTTAAAAACTGCACTAGGGAAGTGTATAAGACCACGTGTGCTTTTTTAAGCTAGCCATATCATATGAATATACCTTATCTCCATGTTGTGAAGCAGCCTAGTTATGGCAATTTAGAGCAACAGTAGGCTACTCGCTTCTGCTATCCCAACACAACTTGTTCACCATAGTGTAACTACAGCCCTTTTTACCAAAAAGAGGTATTCTTTAAGTATCCGTGTTCTTGGCACAGGGTGAGTTGAAGCACAAACTCGCTTCATGATGACGTATATATTCAATAGATTTATTTTAGGAACTACACATAACATCAATAATGTATTGCTGTCCTCTGCATCTGTATGTTTGCAGTCATTTTCTCAGACATTAATAACAGATAAAACTTTGCTTTTGATACCTAGTCCTATACCATGAAGGGATACAAGAATATTTATGAAACAGAGAATAATATTTTGTCATCTTGTAGAATTACTTACAAAGTACGAGTGGCAAAAGAAGTCTCTTTTGCCACTGTTTTTTCTTAGTCCTCTAAGCATAGCTTTCTACATTGTTTCTCCACAACATCAAGTTCTAATTTTTCTGAGTTTCCTGAGGGCAGCAGTGGCCTCTTTTCCTTTCACTGCAAGAAGTATTAGTCAGTGTACAATATTACTATTGTTATTTTTCTTTTTATCAGTTTCGCTTCTTCCTACAGGAATGAATAGTGGGAGGGAAAACTTATGTTCACTGTGGTTCTGTTCTAAATCTCACAGGGGGAGAAATTATAGTATATGTTAATATAATAGAATTTGTGGTGTTGAAAGAGGCTTACAGATTTTCAAATTCTGTCTGAAAGGTCACTTAGATACATGGAGCATGCTGAAACAGGAGGAACAACATCTGTTTCTTAATTGTCTTGAAAATGCCTTAGTCATCAAAGCAAGCCAACAGGCTGAAAGAATATAAGGAGGACATGTTAAAGAAAAAAGAAAAAGAAAAGAAAAATTCTTAAGAAAGTTAAGCATCTGGGATGGGTCAGTTTAAGAGTGGAAATTTGAGAGATAATCTCTGAGTATAGAAAGAGGAGTTGAAGTTCTCCTTCATAGCTTTTAAAAATGTAATCTTTTATCTGCACATAATGGCCAAACAAAACATGAATAGAACATGAATAGCCTTCACTGAGCCAGTTTAATGCCAGGTGTAACCTAGCTTATCGTACTGGAGGAAAGAATGCATTTATCTTAGACAGTGATTGATAACTTACAGTATTGCTTAAATTAACCTTCTTAACTTACTATGAGTGTACTCAGAGGTGGTGTAGGTCATCTAGTCCAACCTGCTGCTCAAAGCAGGGTGAAGGCTGAATTCAGACCAGGTTTTTGTTCAGTTGGTTTTTGAAAGGCATCAAAGATCACTTACACAACTTCTCTTAGCTGTCAGTCCCAATTCCTGACTACCATTGAGAAACAATTTTTCTTTATCTCCCATCCTTTTGAGGATGCACCTCCATAAAGAGCTGTGCTTTGTATTCTCTTTGATATTGCAAGGTTACTCTTAGAATTTCCCTAAGGCATCTTTTCTCCAGGCAGAACCAGTCTTTTATTTCTATTAATGGTTAGCAAGCACTAAGGAATTTGGAAGTGGCTCAGAAGGGTATATGGCATGCTTGGTTATAAAATATGATTTAAGATGACATTCAAGTAGGCTTTAAAAAAAAATAAAATCAATGCTGCTTCAAATT